TGTGTTTCGCTTGAAGAGCATATGCTCCGTTAACGAGTTGTCTGTGCGTGTGTGTTTATGCTGATGTCCACGGTTGACTCTTGCTCCCAGGGCGAGGACCCTCGGTTACCTGCAGCCAATTAGTGAACTGAAACAGTTTGATTGGCTAGTTTTCGCTAGCCAATCATTTTACATGACGAGCACGGTGCCGGAAAGGATTAAACTCGTTAACCGAGGTTCTACTGTGTTAAAATTTCAGGTGGCCCTGTATACGTCTGACAGGAAAACGTCGACCGTTTGTGGGTGGAAGAAAATGCTGTCATTAGTTGTCTCGTACTTACTCAAGCGCCCATAATGAGCTTTGATCCTGTGAAAAGAAAAATGAGTTCGCAAGGTACAGTTGCTGACCTATCTCGCGAAATGTACCTAAATTGACGAAAAATCAGTAGCCAATCTGAAACCGGTCGGAACTCGTTCACCACAAATTCCACAAATAATTATCTACCTCCAGTTAGATAGTATTGCCGGCGAAGACAAGGGAGACTGGAATGGCCATTTCTGGCCTATAAGCCGTCGTCAGTCAGTCATACCCAGCTCCACGTGGCGCACCACCCGAGGCTCTAACTTGCTACCTTTCCGATCAGAGACGAACACTGTAACCATTAAGCTACGAGCTCCTTGTCTTGTGAGTTTAAGTCGGGAGATATTGACACTCTCTGATGAACGTTCACCGACCGCTAGCGGAACTCAGTTGTCCCATTCGGCCTTGGACTTCATTTTCGGACCCTGCTAGCAGCCGTAGCGGCTAGTAGTCTAGGCAGTTAATCGGTTATGCGAAATCTGTAGTAAAAGCACTATTAACTTGACTCTAAAGAGTATGTTTGTTAATAACAAAGGAAAGATTAACAACGCGCTAAATCGGTTCACACGAAAAGACTTACGCTTCTACATGCATGACTGCATGAAACAGTATAGACAAAGTATCGTTTGAATTCATCTTTACATAAATTCTCGTTAAGTCTCCTTCAAGAATTAGTCTTATATGAAATGTGCCACAGAAGAAAGAATAGAATGCAAAATTTCGTTTTAAGGAATAGATTTAAAAATTCCGTTTCTATGTTATCCAAAATATGACTGATTAAAGAATAGATGATTTCGGCTGAGTTCGCTGTTGGAGGTGAGGCCACATAGGTCGGTGGCCGTGCAAATAAACATAGTCCACAAGGACAAGGGCGAATAGAATGGCCTTTTCCTTATCCAACCTAGGGTGGTGCACCACCTGAGTCTCGAAACAGCGGCCTGTTGAGTAGAAGTTCATCACTCTAACCATTGCGCCACGGGCTGACTGTCTTTCCGGTTAAGATCAAGAATACTGGATTTGGTGGATTGATGCTCACCAGGTGCATTCGTTCCGCTGTACCCTGGGGCTCACTACCTTGTTGTAATACTAACCGCTGTGGGACTACTGACGGGGTTCGAGGGAGAGCCCCAAGACAGAACAAGTTGATTGAGTCCTGTATCCGG